GCTGAAAAACCTCTGTGGCGGCAGCGCGCCCGGCCGTGCCTCTAACCTCCGACAGTGTTTACAGACAAGGTCGTCACCCCGGGAAGGGGTCACCTCTCTCCAGTGTCCCTCTGGGCTCTTGAAACGCTACTTGAATTGACCTGTAGGCGCTGCTTGTAGAGTCCACTTGTTATTTAAAAGATGGCACGTTTCCATCCAGAGTGTTAACGTCAAGGGGACTAACTTAAGTAGAAGGACTCGCAGACGACTTTTCTTTAATTAATAAATTCCCCTTTTCCAACTTTCTGTCTCGGTCTTATTTCAGTGCCAGAGAGGAAGCTGCGTGCGTCCTGGTGACGTTCGCACTCTCGACACAGCGCACGCGCACCTCCTCACCCGGGACGCTTGCTGCCGCCCCGCTGATGCTTTCTTGGCAGGCTCACATGTCTTACTTGGAGTCGAGGGACCGTGCCGTCACCTAGCCGGCCTGCGTTCCCGAGTCTCCGACGGTGGAAGCTGAGCGCCACAGGGACTTGCCCTGCCTGTCTCTGGCCGCCGTTTTTTATAAACATCATCTGTGTTTTTAAATGAGAAACTGACCAGCCGCGCCATCGGGGGGGCTGGCCTGGTGCGCGCCAGTGCGGACATGTGTGGGTGCGGATGGGCCTCAGACTCACCGAGGGCACCTTCTGTCCTGGCAGGTGTCTAAGGGGGTCCCTTGGTTAGAAAAGATCAGTGCGCAGGTCAGATCCCCCTTCTCAGACGCCCGTGCACTGGCCACTCATTTTGGCCAAAGAAATCCTGTCCCTTTGACTCCCCTGGACGGCCAGCCTCCTGCAGACACAGTTCCACGTTGCTTCTTCCAGGTTGGAGGGAGGGGACCGTGGTAGCTAGGCGTCTCCCGGGCGGCTGGCAGCCCGCCTGGGCTCTTCCTCCTATGACGTTTCCTTCCCCGTGTGGGGCCCCTCGCTGCGGCCGCGCTGGGCCCACCGCACCCGCCTGCAGGGGGACACCTGTGATGAGCTAGCCCATGGCCCTGCGGTCTGATGCCCTTCACCATGGTTCCTGGAGGACCTTTTCTTCCTGTGCGCCTCACACGGGTCTCAGGCGGCCCCTGGTGGTGTGGGAAAGATGCCCAAGGGGAGGCCTCTGCAGCCGGGGCCTGCATGCAGTCCAGGGAGCCTGGGGTTGGAGGCTTCTGTCCCGGTTGGGGGGGTGGGGTACTGCCCACCGGTGGCCAGGGGCAGGTGGGAGTCTGGGGGTGTGGTGATGGTCGGGGGACCGGGCTTTGCAGCCCTTAGGACTCACACTCCCTTTATAACAAATACCCTTGAATGCTTCCTTTACTGTCTGTGGTGAAATTCCCAGAAACTATAACCTAATTACATGCCTAGTTTAAAAAGTCACTTTAATGCCATAACAAGAACGTGAGATTCTCAGGTACAGCTGTTGCAGAAGGAAAAGATGAAGCTGTCCATTCCTTATAGAGCAGCCCCTCTGCTCTTGGTGGCCAAGACAAACGTGGGATTCTGACTCAAATACTGGGGAGGATTGCCATTGGTGACTGACTCAGGAGGGGCCTCGGGGCTTGATAAAGTCACCAACACTGCAAAGTACATTTCCCCCGTGATTTACGCAGCAGTGGCATTCCTAGAAAATTCCTAGAATTAAAGAGTGTGTGTGACTGACGAAATGGTCACACGTTGAGGTGTGGGGAGGTCATTTTGGCTCATACGTGATTTGGCTTGAACTTTGTGCTAGCAGCCTGTCATGTCCTCTCAAACACGCGCATCTGCTCTAACCATTGAAGAAAAGGATGCATTTGACGATCAAAATGGAGTCACTGTGGTTCAGGCTTCGAGGATGGAACTGGGGGCCGTTGTGGATGTGGTTTCAGACAGTTCCTGCTTCACTGAGAACTTGAATTTTCTTTTTCTTTTCTAAAAAATATTTACTTATTCATTTGGCTGCATTGGGTTTTAGTTGCGGCACGTGGGATCTTCATTGTGGCACGCAGGCTCAGTAGTTGCGGCACGTGGGCTTCTCTCTCGTGGCGCAGGCTCTAGAGCGCGTGGGCTCAGTAGTTGTGGCGTGCAGGCTTAGTTGCCCTGCGGCATGTGGGATCTTAGTTCCCCAATCAGGGATGCTACCCGAGTCTCCTGCATTGGAAGGAGGATTCTTAACCACTGGACCACCAGGGAAGTCCCGAGAACTTGAATTTTCTTTCTTTCTTTCTTTTTTTTTTTTTTTAAATATGTATGTATTTATTCATTTATTTGGTTGCACCAGGTCTTAGTTGCGGCAGGCAGGCTCCTTATTTGCGGCATGCAAACTCTTAGTTGTGGCATGCAAACTCTTAGTTGCGGCATGAGTGTGGGATCTAGTTCCCTGACCAGGGATCGAACCTGGGCCCCCTGCATTGGGAGTGTGGAGTCTTAACCCCTGTGCCACCAGGGAAGTCCCAAGAACTTGAATTTTCTGACCTGTATGAGACTCAAGGCCATCACCAGCTGTCCTCAAAACTGTTTGCTAGTCACCGCCACCTGCACCCTCACGGTCTCAAGGTCTCCCCTGGTAACTGTGCATTCTGAGCCCCAGCCGACCCAAGCACCCTTCCTTCTTGCCCGCTCCCATCCTAACTCTTGACAAACAACTGATGCGATTTTGCGGGTTTTCCCTTTACAGGCCTCCCCCCTCTTATAGTCTGGAGGACACAATTCACGTGCTTCTTGAATCTGTCTCCCAGGCTATGGTCCTCAGTTCGACTTGAGTAAAACGCCTTTCCATTCCTGTTACAGATTGTTTATTGATTATTTCCATCCACACAAACAATGCTGAGTTTGAAGCAGAATTCGTTTCTAGGCCCGGATGACGTCATGCGAGGCCTCAGCTGCGTGGTGCCTGGTGGCCCAAGGAAAGCCACGCAGTCAAGGAAGCTGCTCAGGGTTTGGGACCCGAGGGCAGGGCCAGGTGTGTGGAGGATCCAGTGTTAGAAGAAACAGGAACGGACGAGGGTAGTGGGTTCACCTTCAACGTCCTGCACGCCTAACGCCCCTCCCGAAGGGTCCCTTCCGCTCGCCCCCACGCTGCACAGCCTTGCCAGGAGGAGGTGGCTGTGACTGCTCTGTGGGGACGTCAGGTGGATGCTCTAGTTTTCCAGGTCATGAAGCTTGACAGTTATTAGTGACACGCTCCCCTGAAGGTTCCTTAGAGCGTCAACCCGATGGGAATGCTTTTATGGCCGCGTGGCCGATGTGGGGACCCAGTGTCGTTCCCAATCCAAACATTGGGTGCTTGGTGTTAGGAGCGGGGAGAAGGCAAGGCGGCTCGCGGAGAACCTCCCCAGTGGTCAGCCTGCAGACGCCGTCCTGTGCAGCGCCGCTCAGAGCGCACAACCGCGGCCTCACGCGGCCTGAGGCCACCTGCCGCTCCAGGACCTGGGACCAGGGCACGGGGCCTGCCGCCCGCCCCCTCTCAGGCTCTGGGTGGGCCGAGGACTTTCTCTGTGGAGGGTTGAGTCAGGGAACCGTCCGGGCTCCGGACAGGTGAGTCCTTGGAGAGCGTTCCTGCAGGGACTGCTCCCCGTGCCCAGGCCCCGGCTGGCGCTGTCTGCTGCCGTCCCTGTGACCTGGATGCCCCAAGCTTGTTGAGCGGCTGAACACTCCCACCCCGCTTTGGTGACGTGGGAAGCTCTGCGCACTTGCTGGCCCTTCTTTGGAGAGAATGAGTTTGCCACTCCCAGTGGGCTCTTCCTCCGTAGGCCTGTGTTCTGCTGTGCCCCTCCTGGCCACGCCCACCAAGGCCTCGGCTCCCTGCGGACCACACCCCAGGCCACACCCCTCCTCGCTCGCCAGGCCGCGCCCCCCCGCGGCGCGCCCCC